GTAGTTTTCCTACGAGTTTGAAAAGTCTCTGTTTGCGAACCGAGAGGTTTGCGGCCCGAGCCGAAGGCGAGGGACGTAACGAGGTTCGTAAAGGAGACTTTTCGAACGAGTTCCGGAAAACTGCTTTTTCGCCCGAGGAAGTACCAGCCTCCCAAAATCACCGGAGGGCGGAAAAATATTTATTTCGAATTGGTTACTTTGTAGGTAACACTTATTAAATCGAGAGAGTAGGAAGAACGACGTATCCGCTCTTGATTCTTTTCTTGTGCATATACAAGACTATACATTTCGTCTCAAATGCCGAATTACCAACAAAGCTTGTATAGTTGTTCCCGAGTAAAAAGGTCACTCCGAGTGAAACGAAATCTCGGTGTTCCGGAACAAAACTTGAATTCGGAAAAGCAACAAGAGCGAAGGGCCTCGGCACGACGACATCCGGGGGAGGAGTGGGGCATCAAGAGAGCCGCGTGACTCTTAATGCAATAGCCGACGCATCGATTGCAACAAATTGCTTTCCCAAGCCCATAAATCTTGGCTACTCCCCCTTGTGTGCGCAGCTATACGCAGCCCGAGAGAAACGAAGAAGAAGAAGAAGATGGGAAGGACAAAAAATTGGTAGAGAAAAAGGAGAACTAAAAGCTAGCTGTGGCCTTTACTGATACTTTTTGGTGCGGCGTGCACAAAGTGACCAAGATCGCTCGTGTACGAGTGAAGCTGCATTGTCAGTGTGTAGCAGCGCATATAGAGAGCAGTGGTCTGTGAGACGAACATTGTCACGGTAAAAGGTGACGACACTTTGCTCGCCGAGGCTACCGAACTTTGCGCTATTATTCAACTACTGGGAAGAAGAATATATGTATGGTTAAAGAACGGGAGGAAGTGGGAGGAAGCTTGTGTGGTGTTTCTGGGCCCGAAACTGGGGCTGCGCGTTATTATGTAAATGAGCCGAGTAAAGGAGATGGTTGCAGAATGATGCACAAAAAATTTAAGCTTCGACATTAACTGGTTATAACCACTAGTGGCTCGACCATCAAACTGAAGTTGAATCTGTATTGATATTGTTTCGAGGGTACGCTTATAAATAGGAGTACGCTTATAAAGTGAATGTTGGAAAAAAAGAGTTTTTTAGGAATATTTTGGTGTGGCACTGAAAAAAAAAATTTGGCCATTCAAGTGAATGTTTAATTATATGCAAACAAAAAAAATATTTTTATCAATGAAATAAACATTTATCGAAGTCAAACAACAATAACTTAAATCAAATAAAATTAAAATCAATTTTAACTATATTTTTATTTTATTTAAAATAACTAATTGTTTTGCAGGTAGCTTTTGTCTTGGCAAGAATTCAGTGAGTTCATATTGTTTGTACATTATTTTCCGTGAGTGCACCCTTGTAAATAGTAAGCTTACCAAAAATAATTGTGAAATTTTATAATTTGTTGAATAACCATGTTTTCAAACACAGCTGAAATCACCCATAACTTATTATTAGATCAAAATTTTTTTACCTAATCGATACTTCATTATGAATTATTTCCGGAGATTTCGATTGTTTTCCAAACAGATATTGTCAGGTTTATTAAAGCATCAATTTATTTAGGTTTAACTAGGCTATCTCGAGATAGAAATAACAATTTCACGTACAACAGGGTGTTTTCGGTGTCATAGATACGAGCTAAAAAATTATTAATAATAATTTTGTTTCATCCGACTTATTATTTTATAAAATGTATACCATTATACGAAAGAGTGTAAATGTTTCATCGATAAACAATAGTATTGGTGAACATTCAAACAGATGAACTAATTCCACTTCCTCGTTGACAGTGATGTACTAGTTCTTGTGAATGAGCTTCCAAGATTTTTATTTATAAAAAAAAAAAACAAAAAAAAGAAAATTCCCAACCCCCCTGTGACTGCTGTATGATCTAAATTCTTAAGTACGAGCAACATGAGGATGGAGTGGGGGGGGGGGGTCAGGAGAAGGAAAAATGCTCATACAACTGATGCTGCCAAAGATGCTTGGATATTCGTCGAATTCCTTGCCTCTCCGGGACAGGGGCTCATCCCCTCCACTAATTCCTATGGTTGACCATGAGCCACAGAGCTATTTGTAATATCATCGGTCCCACCTTTTATTTTCCATCGTTCCCCGTATCCCCGCTCCTCTGCCCTTTTTTCCGAGCTATCGTCTTGGCCCCCGAGGAAACTCGCACCAAATAGTCAGTTAGTCGACGACCACCGGACCATAACCCCGGCCGCTCAGCTTCTCTCGTCCCGAACATAAGTAGCCCGTTTAAGCAGAGTGGGATTAAACTTTCGGAGTAATCGAGTCTGGCTTACTTACGGTTGTGCGTGAAACTCGTGTGTTTCCCCATACGTGGATGTACTTTGGTAGACTGTGGTGCTAAGTTTTGCAACAAGTGTTTTCACTTCTCTCATCCTGGGATTGGGCGCTATGTGCAACAGTTCCTTTGCATCGATAATGAGCCCGCAGCAGCACAATACTCAGCAGCAGGTTGGTAACCTTTTTCTTAGTTTCGTTCAGAAAATTTTAAGTTATTTTTCGTGGATTATTGACAAAAAAAAATGCTTTACATTTAAAAACCCCTTTTTTAAAAAATATTTCACTTATTGATCGACTTTTCGAAAATTTCGATGCGTTTGGAAAAAACTCTAAGGCATATTCGTTCCATTTTTTCTAATGTAGCCTTTTGTAAATACTTCTAATTACTTTCATAATAAAAAAAATAATAATAATAATAATAAATTAAAATATTGAGTCGTATTGAAGAATAAAAATGCCAAATTCGGAGATATACGGAGATATGCCAAATTCGGACGTATGTCCTATCGTATGAGATGAAAAAAAAAAAAAAAAAAATTATAAACATAATTCACGAAAAGTAAAGGATCGAGAATGACGATCGAGTCAAAATTATTTTGGATCCTCGTAACTTACCTCGTTTGATCATATCGTTTTAGATCCACGCACCACTGCTGCAATCATCTGACGTCGAGCCAAGGACAATGTTCGGGCCCTACGGGGGAACTCCGGACTACGGGATGGAGAGCAGTCTCTCCTACCCGAACAACAACTACTGGTTCGAAAATGCCTATTACCACCAGATGAACCCACCGCTACCACCACCACCAGCACCACCAGCAGCAGCACCCTCAGCTTTCAACATCCCCCTCTCGCCGCCCTACAGCCACGCGTCGTCGGACAGCCAAAGTAGTCCCTGCAGCAGCGCCGAGTCGAGCTACTCCCCGCAATCCTTGAGTCCCACTGCCACGACGTACCCGCCCCTCCAGCCCTACTACCCCAAGATGCTCGTCGAAGGCCCGGCGTCCGCCAACTCGCGTCGCGTCGTGCGGTGCGCGTGCTCCTACTGCGGCACCGGCCGCGACGTCAAGAACAGCAAGGGCCAGCGGTTGCACGCCTGCGACTGGGTCGGCTGCGGCAAAATCTATCCCAAGACCTCCCACCTGAAGGCCCACATTCGCACGCACACGAATTACCGGCCGTTCGTCTGCCGGTGGGACAATTGCTTCAAGAGTTTCAGCCGCAGCGACGAGCTGAATCGGCACGCGCGCATACACTCGGGCATCAAGACCCACATTTGCCAGAGCTGCGGCAAGGGTTTCACGCGCAGCGACCACTTGCAGAAGCACAAGAAGACCCACGAGAACCAGAAGAGCAGAAAGGCCAAGAAGGATGGGGCGGCCGGTCGGGACAATAAGGGTAGTTGTTGCCCGTCCACGGCTGGATCTTACGTGCCTATGCCTCAGGCACCGATGCAGCAGCAGTACGGTCAGGCGCCCGTGACACCCGCCCAGTTGACAGTGCCGAGTCTCAATGAACCGTACAGTGTAGCCCAGCCATCTCAGTTGCAACAACAACAACAACAACAACAACAACAACAACAGTCGCTGATGCAGCTGCAGTTCACGTGCGTGACTTACCCGAACAATTATTACCACTATTAGTGGCTCATTCACTACATTAAATTATGTTGAGCCAGCGGTCTCTCTTTATCTCTTGTTATATACGATTGTGTGTTCTCTTTCATCGCGTGGGTGTTACGATGGAATTTCTAACTGAATTTCTAACTGGATTTTTTTTTTAATTTTAATAAGTTTCTCCGTGATGTTGGGAAAAAACAAAAAACATACAGACATAATTATGATCGATAAAATGGCCATACGTACCCTAGTTATTAAGAAACGGCTTGTTTTTCATTTATAAGATATTTTGTAATATTAATGTTTATGTCAGTGGTGCGACGATACCTGTGATACTAGTCATATACGTTTGTCATGATAATATGCGAACAATAATTACACATTGTAAAATACACCATTGTATACGTAAAGGAAAAAATTTTGCCATGTTTTTTATGTAAATAAATAATTGATGAGATAAATGAAAAATTTTTACAACGACTGTTGAAATTGCTTTTTTTACTTTGACAGTACTATTACGATACAATGACCCAAACGTGATTTTTTACAACACCCATGATTATACTTTTTTGTGCAACTTGAAAAAAAAAAAAAAAAAAAAACAACAATCACCAATCATCACTAAAATGTTTATTTTCATTTTTTACAAAAATATCAGTCTAATCGAAATGCAGCATCGACCGATTCTTCGTACCCACACCGTCATCTTTCCCGCGTTCCCCGGCAGATGTCAGCAGACCCAGCATCTGGTGGCGGTGATTGCACACATAGCACCAGGTAACCCAACACCTCCGCACGTATATCTGATCCATATACACACATGTACATACTCAAACGCGCAGCGAGCAGTGGAGGGAGGCGGGTCCATTAAATGGGCGTGTCCCCGCGAAGATTCATGGCTCATGGCTCATGGCTGCAGATGTACGAAGAAAGAGAGGGACACGAGGATGCAAATGCCCAAAAAAGGGAGAAACGGAGAAGAAATCAAAAGAAGATAAAAGCACTGGCTCTCGTAAACACGCGTGTTGTAAAGATCTGAGTAAATACCGACTCTGTATGGATCTACACACTATATCTTATCTACGTGTGGGTATAGGTATATTATTGCAATCGAGTGATCGGCCAAAGGCTGCGTAGAGCTACGAAAGGGGTGAAAGAAAACCTCGAGTCGGGGTGGGTGGGTATATTGCACCCAGTACAAATCGATCAGACACCGAACATTGTCTCTAATACCAACGGACAAGGGGTCGAAGGGTGGGTGACGCATCGATCTTCGTTTACTCGAGGATCGGTATAAGCCGCACGAAAGATCGGCAAGAGCAAAAAAAAAAAAAAAAAAAAAAACGAAAGAGAATAGAAAAGTGGCAAACCGCGTGTCGTGGCGATCGCGAGCGCGACTCTACCGTGCAAGAGGGAGAAAATGAAGAGAGAGAGAGATAAGACAGTGTCGGCGGGCAGTTGGTTGGCCGATCGCCGGCTCGCGCACAGCCATCGGAGCACATCACCAGCCACAGCAGCAATTTTATATAAAAGCAGCTGCCGTTGCATCGGCCCTCTCTTCCCCTAGCTGTATATATACACGGGTGCACTGTGCATATGCACCTTACGTGCCACACTGGAAGAGGGAGAGAGCGCGTACGCGTGCTGCCTTGCGTGTCGTCCACCACCTCCTCCTCCTCTTTGCTGCTCTTGCCGTGTGGTGTGTACAGAGTCACGCGGAGTTTCGTTGGTGTGTGCAGCGGCAGCCGAGCGCTATAGAGATACCGGCGCGTGAAAAGCCGCGGGAGTCTCGGACACGGTGCCGCCGCGCGCGCATATACCCACCGACCGCCGCCGAGTTGCACGTAGTTGCACCCATACGCTTATTTTTCCATTCACCCGTGTGCTGCACTTGTTCTCCTCCTCCTCCTCCTCCTCCTCCGCAGCTCGTACACCAGTGTGCCTGTGTTTAAGGAGCACCTCGCGTGCTTCGCGCGGTCTAATGGTACAAATCACTTTCTTGTAATTGGGAAAGGGGTGGTGCAGGATAAAAACACGAGGGGGTTGGTGCCCCTCCGAAGATGGATCGTACCACCTGCCGAGATCATCGTCGGAACTTTTCTCTTGTCACTCTTGGTCGTCTAGTCGTGGTTGGCGATCGATTCGAGAGGACCATGTGACGAAGGGCCGATGAGTGGTGACACTGATGCACGAAAGCTTTTTTTTCCCTTAACGGTCGCAACGTATGTACATTGTGGTACAGTGCGCGTGTGTGTCTGTCGCTGGTCTGTATACGTCGTACAGCTTGTCAGTCGAGGACCAAAGGAAGGAAGGAAGGAAGAAGCTGAAAAGGACGAACGGCGAATCACACGCACGCGCGTATATACATACATACACACGGATTGGAGGGTAGCTCGGCAACCTGGAGGCGGAGGTCGGCGCCGGCAGTGGGGGCCGCAGGGGTGTCAGCCCCACGGCGCCCCTCAGCTCCATAAACGTAAGTCTCGATCGCTTGCTGATCTTTTTCCCTCTCTCGGCCAACAAATGTGATTCCTCCTCTCGACCTCCTGTCTTTCTTTTTTTTCTTTTCTTTCATTTTTTTTTTCCGCGCCCTTCATGCTTCTGATTTACGAGCGGTGAGAAGAAACAAAAACAAAAAAAGAAAATAGTTATTTGCAGACTGACAGAGTCGGCTCTTGTATATACGGTGTTTTAATTTACGATGGATCATGAAAGCTTTTTCACGTGAATTTCGGTCCTGCGTCGTGAATGGTGTTGCCACACTATAACCGGTAAACTTCCAGTTGAATCGAGGAATATACTTTTGTTGTGCCTATATACTCTTCTAAATTTGGTATAAGGTAAGGTCCATGTACGTAAGAAATTAAAAAATCACACTCGATAAACAAAAGGATCTTGAATGATCGAAACGATTTCTTGATGATAAAAAAACAAAAAAAAATAAAAGCACCAATCAATCTTCAACACGATTTGACAATCAAAACACTCTAGTCACAGCGTCTGGATGACGGAAATCCAAAATGGCACTGCCAAGGGTACAAAAATCGATAGGTAAAATCACACAAGGCCATGTGGTACGCCGTGCGAAATGCACCGAAGCTTCGAAGCCGCGTCGCGTCGAAGATCGACTAAAACCGCATCACGCACGCGCGGCTCTCTTCCTCCAAAAATTTAATAGCGCCAGAGGGTACACGCCATCACGTGTATAATACGCGCTCCTTCTCCTCCTGGGCTCCCTCCCTCCTCCTCTCTCTTGCCTTCTCCACCATAATTTGCCCCGAATTCGTGGCTGTACACCAACTTGGCAACGTCGAGCAGCACACGATCTGATCTCGTATATATGCGTATGTGCAAGGGAAAAGGGTTCAACCGCACGTGAAGGAGAAACACGAAAAGAGGCACCCGCAAGCGAGCTTTAAAGCTTTACCATTTACAGAGTCAATTGGACTCCTTCCAATAGCTTTTAATTCCTTTGTTCTGTTGTACGGCTTTGACGGTGATCATGGTATGTGGAGAGCAGGTGCAGACATGCGCGTAATCTTTTTTTTCGTCCAAAAGTTGAGAGGGCTGCGCTGTCAGATCAAATGCATCGGTAGGTATAGGGAAGTACCGGTGTGTGTTAAAAAAAAAAAAAAAAAAAAAAAAAAAAAAAAAAAAGTTCTTGATTTCTCTTTTACAGACTACAATGAATAGTTATTGAAACAAGAAAATCTGCAGGAAGGACCTTTCGAGGCTTACCGATTTCAGTGAATCCTCACCATCTGGTGTGCAGCTCACTCCACGTCAATCGGAATAGTCGCTGAAATCAAGCTCCACGTATATGTGCTGGACCATCCTTCATCTGGCTTCCTTTGTAGATTCACCACTCCGCTATGCAACAACGTAGCGCCACACGACCCAAACACACCTCATAGTCTCGATTAGATATAGTAAAAAAAGGGCCGCAGGCGTGAAGTTGCCGATCCACGTGCGATACGTATACAGTCCTACATGCTCTAATTTTCCAGAGAGGAGGAGGAGGAGATGCAGACTAGGGGAGAGAAAAAACATGCATGTGTGTGGGGGGGGGGGTAAAACGGGAGGAGAAGAATACCGACCGCAACACGTGTATACAGACGGGCAAGAGATCGGTACCATCGCTGGAGTTGAAACGGCGCGAGCCGCTTGGGCCTGAGAGAGCATCAGTTATATGCCTATAATGCGCGCGGGCGCATCAGCGCACTCGTGGGCACACATGCGGCCCGGCAGAGATGTACACAAGGGAAAAAACGACGGGCAGACACACCCCCTTTGGCTCACAAATCTAATTAATTTATATCCCGAGAGCAGAGGGAAGAAAGGGAGAAATAAAGAAAGAGAGGCGCCACCAAAAGAACGTCTTCCGACACCGGGAGATGCTGCACGTGTGTGTCTGTGGGGACGTACGAAAGAAAGAAACAAATCGAGGATGATCTGTGGGAGGAGAGAGAGAGACAGGGATCCCAGGTGTGCACGCATGCGTGGGCGTGTAGGTGTGGGCGCGATTTGCCGGCTCTCCGAGAGAGGCCCGATAATCTCCCCAAGCCCGTATACGTATAGTCCTCCGATCTCTTTTGTGGCTTTATTAGCTTTCTTTTTGTGCAGCCGTAAAAAAGACACGCGTGCGTGTTGTATATTTTGATTAAATAAAGTGGGCCCGACGCGTAAGAGGCCCCTAAGTGTGACGGATTTTTCATTGTTGTACCGCTCGAGGAGGAGGTGGAGGAGGCTCGCGTGGATGCCGTTTTGAAAAAGTCATTAAGTTTGTGGGTATACATGTGCCTCTCTTTGGCTATTGTGGCTATCTCAACGAATAAACCAATATTGATGCACGACTGTTGATTGTGGCGGAAAACGACCATCAAGTTGATGCTTCTGACTGATTTTATTTAACAGGTTTTTTCACGATTTTGATACGAATTTTTCTTCTTCTGAACACGATCGTCCATGAGCTATCTAGTAATACAAACACATCACTTTATTGGGTGGGAACAAAATTTACATTT